AAGTGACAGCAAAACTGCACGTCATTCAGTATGTCAACGCCAAGGATTCCGATACTGGCTGAGGCAACAAGAGGAGTGCTCTAAAACTGAGGAGACACGACAAAGGGGTTCCTTTTAGCGGTAAAAGCGCAAACTTGTGTCTTCAGGGGATTTAACTGGACTAGATTTAGTCGCCCCCAACCCGAGACTTTTTTCAACAAAGTCTCGACTTCAGACACAAGTTTGTTTCGGTACTCGGCAACGTTTTCCCGACAAATGTTTGCACGGTCGGTGTATAAAGCATCAATAGTGCTATCGTCCGCATAGCAATGAATGTTACCGGTTTGCAACATATTATTGATATACAGAAGAAACAGCATTGGTGATAGCACGCAACCTTGTGGAACACCCGCGTTAATAGTCTTGTAGTCGGAGCATGCACCGTCTACTACAACCTTGATGCTCCAATGAGCCAGAAAACTGGTAATCCAATTGCACAATTTCTCGGGAAGCCCATAGAAAGGAAGCTTCGAAAGAAGCGCTTTGTGCCACACCCAATCGAAGGCCTTCGCTATGTTCGAGCTAACCGCCAAAGCCTCGCCCTTGGACTCGATCGTCGGCATCCATTTTTGTGTTAGGTAAAAAAGAGGATCACCAGCTGAGTAACGCCGACGGAAACCATACTGGCGGTCACGAATCAACTGGTGCTTCTCAAGGTACCGCATGAGCTACCAGTTAATAATGGACTCTATTATTTTCGAGAACAAGGAGTTAACGGCGATAGCCCTTACACGAAAGTTGTCTTCCATAAATTTGGGACAACTTATAGGGAGTAAAAGAACCGGAAAAGACGCACAATTGGTGGGATTCCGTCAGGCCCACTCGACTTGGGATGCCCAGGGGGAGGAGTGCTTTACATACTGAGCACTGTGTGAATCGTACATCAGGCATAGATCATTCACACTACGGGATAGTCGGCGGTATGTTCCCTCCGTCATCGAGAGTCGAGTTCATCGCAAAAAAGAAGCCTAAAAGGTCGGCTTTCTCTTTTGCGGTGTTGGCCAGTGTGCAGAGATGGTAGTGATGGCTTAAAGAAATTCCCTTGGACAGCCTTGGTGAGAGACCAGAATGCACGGGTTTTCTAAAATAAGGCGAACTAATTTCTCGCCAATTCTGCCAATGTGCTTATACTTTGTCTTGGCAATAATTCTTTGAAGGACCTGGAGGCAAAGTTATACTTCTTTTTATGCATGCTGGTGTTTACATCCCGAGCCGCCGAAGTCTCAGTCTAGGTCTGATAACATTCCTGCTTACTGCGTAATGCAGTCTTATAGAAGCGACCAAACCAAGGCTGAGATCTGCCTCCGATGGGCACCACAGATGATGGAATAAATAGTTCCATTCCCTGTAGCACCACATCAGTGACAGAGTCAGCATCAGCGCTGGGATCATCCGGCTAGAAGCAAACCTGTCCCCATGGGTCGGATGAAAAGAAAGACAGCATTCCGTCCCATTTGGCTGACCTGTAATGCCGAATACGGTGGCAGCCTGTAGAACGCAACTTCGAAAGGAGCGCGAGTGGAACCACACTCCAGATCAGACTATGGTCCAAAAAGCCAACAAAGAGCTGAGATTCCAAGGGTTGTCAACGGAAACCAGATATCCGTCCGGTTGAGAGGTCAGCAGAAGGTCCAATAGGGAAGGTGTATGATCCTTCCACATCTGGAATCTGCGTAGGCGAAGTAACCAGTTGTGTCAGACCATATGCCAAGGCAAAGTCATAAACAGATCTCCCCGCATGATCGGTTAAACGTGAACCGAGCCATTCGACGTGTTGGGCGTTAAGCTCGCCCAGTATCATGATCTCTACGGATGGGATCTGTTGTAGCAAGATATGTGTAGCCGCGTGGACATGGTCGATGAATCGGTCTGTGTCGGAATTACCGCTATGGAATCTGTAGAGGCACCCATAGACGCGAGTATGGTCTTGTTGTCTACTCGTAGCCGAAGGATAGACAAGTCCGCACCTTCAAGGCTGCCGAGGCGTGTTGTTTGTACGCCATGTAGGACAGGTACGAAGTATCAAGTATCAGCCTAAAAGAACACTTGCGTCTCGGTCAAAAAGAGCAAGGCCGGTTTCGCCTGCCACGTCTGCCACGGATAGCCCCCCCCCCCCGAATACGCGAGGCAGGCTGAGCACCCACTCTCAGGAAGAAGAGGCTAGCTTTTCCGTGGATGCTCAGTGCGGGATTCTCCATTATAAGGGGTGCTGGTACCCTGCTGGAGTAGACTTTTCCTTTAGATTTCCGCTACCATATTATGGAAGGGAGGGGCCTCCGACCAACTGCACTGACCAAGCGAAACGCAGAAGCAAAGTTTCTACTTTACGCTGGTACTCTGTGAGTTCGTGTTACTTCCACGGTTGGAGCCAGCCCACCCGTGCTACAGCAGAAGCTGCAGCGTGGCTCTACCACTGTTGAAGCAGATCATTCATTAACAGTATTATTTTTGTATTTATTGTCAAAGCTACTAGATACTTACTGACGTGACGCGCGGTGTTATACTGCAAGCGTGACGAGAATTTATTTACATGTTATTTAAAATGATTAGGTAGGTAAAATATTAAATTAAAAAAGGTAAAAAATTTAAATCTTTCCCGGACTATATTTAAGCTTTTGCGGACCACTGGTAGTCCTCTTATTCATTCTTTCATTCATTCTTAGTCATATTATTGTGTATGTATTTTAGGAGTTTTGGCGGGAACTTGACCGGCGGCGGTTTGCTGCTCCTGTATTATTGTTTAAATAATGGTTTGATGTGGACTTTGATATGTAAAAGTGGTGCGATTTTGTGTATTAAGTGTCTGCGCATATAAACTATTAGTGGAAACTGTGAAACAAGTAGAGCACTTGTTTCACAGTTTTTCACATGGTGATGTGATTCTTAAAATAAGGTGTCTGTCTGCTTAGGCGCCTTGAGATACCATCGCCAACCGTCAGCTGTCTGCTGGCTCAAGTTGCCGTCAAAATCTCCCAACTCCTGCACAATGTGACGCATCAAGATATTGTGAAGTAGTATATTATGAAGGATAATTATTATAATATATTGTAACTTCAGGCTCAGAAGGGCTAGATCCCAAAGCCGTAAAGCCAGTTATTAAGTTATTAAGAAAAAGAAGAAGTGTGTATTTTATTAATTTGTTATTTGTTTACGATTTAGCGGCAAATTGAAAATTGTCTGTGTACGTCAGCATGAATTTAATGCAAGAAAATTTTCGTACAATGATTTTTACGACTTTCGATGTCATTTAAGTCATTATGGAAGTTATGGTAAACTTCGATTGGCTTTTCACGATGAAACCCCATCTTGTGCCACTGTTTACAACTGGTTTAATGAGTTTAAAGTGGTCGTACTAATCTCATCGATGATCTGCGTGAGGGACGGCCTTCTACGGCGACGACTGAAGATTTCATCAGTGTTGTGCGGCGTCATTCATTCATTCGGACAAGCTTAGGCATCGATATGAGTCAAGTGTACAAAATACTCCATGAACATTTAGCGCTCAGGAAGCTTTATGCCCGGTGGATACCTCATCATTTGACAGAGGCCCAAAAACTACGTCGTGTTGATTGGTGTCATGAAATGGTCCAAAGATTTAACGGAGGTGACTCAAATGCTGTGTTCAACATACTTACAGATGACAAAAACTGGATTTATTGTTATGATCCTGAAACTAAGAAATAGTTTGCTGTCTGGGTGTTTCCTTCCGAGGAGTTGCCAACTAAAGTGAAGAGAGGTCAAGCGTGGGAAAAAAGATGGTGGCCTTGTTCTTCGGAAGGACAAGTCATTACGCAACAATTGTTTTAGAGGATCGAAAAACAGTTACTGAAGAGTGGTACACTAATAATAGTTTGCCACTTGTCTTGGAAAAAGTTTGGGAGAAACGACCTCGCCTTAGGATCCTCCTTCACCACGACAACGCCTCGTCGCACACCGCCAAGCAAACAATCGACTACTTGGCAACGTCAGACGTGTAATTACTGGGTCGCCCACCCTATAGCCCCATCCTCGCACCTTGCGATCTTATTTATTTCCGAAAATAAAAGAAAAAAATTCGAGGAAAACGTTTTATGGACGCCGAGGAAGCAGTGGCTGCGTTTCAAAATGCTGTCGAAGAGACCCCTAAGGACGAGTGCAAAGTGCTTTTCTCAGTGGTTCCATCGGATACAGCGATGTGTAGATGTAATTGGACACTATTTTGAAAAGATATAATAAAACTAATAACTTGCTAGTTTGTTCAGTTTTTGATTTTCTAAGAACTTTCAGTGTCACTCTCGTAGTCAATGACCTGTAGCAAAATAATTAATTTCCAGTAAGCTAAGAAATTAATTATTCTGCTACAGGAAAGAAATTTTCTTCCCCGCACAACTTTCTTGTGGAATCGAATACCTCCAGCAATTTTTCCAGACCGATACGACTTAGGGACCTTCAAGAAAAGAGCGTACTCTTTTTTAAAAGTTTTGGTGTTACAGTTGTTCATGCGCGGCGGTAGTTACTTACCATCAGGTGAGCCGTATGCTCGTTTGCCCCCTCTCATATAAAAAAAGTTTATTGTACAATTATGTAAAACTTTGTGATTATTATTTATTGTTAGATTAATATAGTTTTCTCGTTCACTTTATAATCTCTGCTAACTACAAGAAAATCAAAATGTCAAAAAAAGCTCTAATATAACTAACTAACCTATCCATGTGTTTGAAAATAAAATACAAAACGAGGGCGCATAAAATTTAAGGAGTTTAAGATGCCTGAAGAAATGTTACTAAATTAACACATATGTAATTTATCAACGGTTTCATATTGAAAACACTTGAACTTGTCTATATAAATGTGGATCTGCTTAGATATGAACAAATTTCGCGAGAAATCGCTTATTTCTTAGTAAAATTCACGTAAGATTTTATTTACAATTTAACGTGTCCAAAAATAAATAATAAAATAGGCATAATTTTAAAACTTACCAGATATTCTTTTAATATGTAGTTGCGTTGCGAAATTATTGCCCATTTGTGAGACATAGCTATCTTTTTTACTGGACAACTGGATACTAAAGCCATCAGACTCTAGTGAGGCTCTGGGTGCCCTTGCTGCTTGGACTGCCTTGTTCTGGCAAACCGGTGTTGGAGCGACCTTGCCCAAAGCCGCTTCTTGTGAGCCAGTGCTGTCGCGGCGACGGCTCTTATGGTCCAACAGCATACTTGGTGTGCAACCCATTTTGTCACATTGGCACTGACTACACTTTGGCACTTACACTATAATACATCTGCATATCACCATTTTTATATCTGTAACAAAAGAGAAACGCGGTCAGAATTGCGCAAAAACATTTAAAATAAAAATTGTTATATACTTACGTTATACTATTAAGATTTGCTTTCGACATATTATTTTAATATTCTATTCATTTTAAAAATATATATTTTGTTATAATAATAATAAGTTCTAAAATTATTATTTTTAGAGAAGAGGTGGCAAACCAGCATGCGGCTCACGTGATGGTGTCGACCGCTCACAAACAACTGCAACACTAGGGGAATTTTATTTTAAAAAGTAGTAAGCTCATTTCTTGAAGCTCCCTAAATCGTATCTCTTCGAATAAATCACCGATTTTAAACGATTCCACAAAGTAGTTGTTTATTTCAATCAATGTTATATTTTCCCATTTTTAGTGTTAGAAATATAAATGAGCTACCATTCCAACTGACCATGGACAACTCTATTAATCTTCTAAAAAAGAAAATGCGCTGTCAGCCCTGATAACTAAGATGGATGCGTCACAGTTTGTCAGTCAAATACCTTAAAAAAATCCGAGCGGGTGCACCGTAGGCACTGCGCCCTAACACAGTCTCAACTGATGTGTTAGTCGACAATAGGTCCAAGTTAATTTTTATAAAAATACTAGCAATGTTATTAACATTACTAATATTCATTTTAACCACAACTGGTAAGCTTAAAATGTTTGTGTTAGGAGTGGTTTACGGCAGTAGTCGAATGGCAGATTCGAACCAACGACCTTTTGAGCTCGCAGTCCGCATCCTGCCAGTAGACTACTGTTCTAACTCTAAAGGTGCAAGAGAAATGTGACACTAAGTATCTAAGATTTGAAAAAGTTTAGATTTAGTAAGTAAATTAAATTTGGAAGGAAATTTAATTCTGAATAACAACCCTGAACTTTATGCTAAAAACGTTGTCTTATCAAAACGTTGGCTTAGCCAACCCTGTCTGGCAAATTTTACTGTGTTTACTAACTATAATAGTTAATACAAACACAAACAAACTAATATTTAAATCACTAGTGAGTTAAAGTCATAAATGCGATAGAACGTCTACATGTCACTCATCTGTCATACTTGTAACGTTTATTCTTACTTGCAGAAATTTAAAAACAAGAACAAATAACTTCAAAGACAAAATACTGCGACACGTGCGATTAATTACGCTAATTTGCAATGATGGACTGGTGACGTTTTGAAGTTACGGTTAATTAAGTCTCGACAAAACACGAAACATACTATATACTATGATGTGATTTTCTGATGCTATTTTAAGAAAGAACACACCACCGAAGAATAGGATTTCATGAACAACATATAAATATATCATTTATAAAGATGAGCTATATTTTATAGAATAAGGGTGACAAACGAGAACAAAGTCTATTGATGGTACTCGGAAGTGGTTGCTGTGTCATAGGTACCTCTCGAATCTGCTGCTATTTTACGCTTGTATTATGTGAGAGCATGTTTCGTCCTTGATCCAGCAGACCAATTTGTGCTATAACCATAATAGTGGCTCTATTACTTAGAAACTAAACATGGTTATTTAAAAGATGATATATTTTTAAAATTAGTCTGAGTGACCTGTGCGTGGAGTAGGTGAATGGCAGGAATTTTGTTGATTGTGTGAAGCTAGAGAACGATGTATTGGTGAATTCCAGAATGGTGATCACAGTCACAGTACTGGCTTTTCCTTTTAATAAATGTGATTAAGCCGGCACATTCATTATTACTCAAAAGTCCTCCGCTGAACATAAACTTCTCCCATAGATATAAATTGTCCCATAGATATAGTGGGAGGACTATTAGCTAAGCTGGCTAGAACGGATGTTAAATAACATAAAAAAACATAAACACTCACGCCTGTCACCCAGAGGGGTAGGCAGAGACTATGGGCTTTCATTTGTCACGATCCTGACACACCTCTCTCGCTTCCTCCACATCCATATACCTACGCATACACGCTCGTCGGTTAAAGGTACTCTTGATTTGGCCCATTTTCAATATATCGCTAATTTGATCGATAAACTTTCGCCTAGGGCGTCCCTTCCCGACTCTGCCGTTCACCTCTGCAACATAAATTTGCTTTGTCACTCTTTCCTCATTCATTCTTTCTACATGACCAAACCACCGAAGCATTCCTTTCTTAATCCAGGTCACAACATCATTTTGTAAACCACACTCTTCTCTTATCACACAATTTCTCACTCTGTCATTCAGAATCATCCTTAACATACTCCTTAATGACCGCATTTCTACAGCATTTATTCTACTCTCGTGCTTCTTCTGCCACACCCAACTTTCACTACCATACATTAAAGTAGGGACTAACACAGCACTGTGAATTGCCATACGCGCCTTTTTGGACACATTCTGACTTCTCAAAATAGGGTGTACAGCCCAATTCACTTTCTTTCCTGCGTTCACTCTTCGTTCTATATCCTTATCATATCTACCATCCCTGCTAAATACACATCCCAAATACACAAACTCATCTACTAGCTCGACCAACTCCCCTTCTATTCTTATTTCACATAACGTTTAACTTTCGTTTCTTTCAAAAACCATCACTTTCGTCTTACTTGCGTTCACTTTCATTCCCTTTTCTTTTAATGTCCTGTTCATTAATGTAACCATCATTTGAAACTCGGCCGCCGACGACGCAAGTATGACTTGATCATCGGCGTACAAAAGGCATTTGACGGTTAACTTACCCATTCTTAACCCGCATTCTTCTACTTTCAAATTTTCGAAAAAACTGTCCATAAATAGGTTTAACAGCAACGGGGAAGCCATACAGCCCTGTCTGACACCTTTATGGATGCCAAACCTGTCCGAGTAGGCCCCGTTGATCCTGACAGAAGCACTAGTGTCCCTATACAGAGACTTCAATGCCTCTATCAACCCAGCGCTCAACCCAAATGAGTTCAGTGTTTGCCATAATACATCCCTGTCCACTCTGTCATAAGCCTTTTCCAAATCCACGAACACACAAAAAACTTTTCGGTTTTTGGCCAAAAACTTCTCCCGGACCATGCGCATGGAAAAGACCTGATCCGTACATCCCATTCCCTTTCTAAATCCCGCTTGCACATCCCAAATTTTCCATCAGTTTCTTTCATAACTTTTTCTATTAGTACCTTAGCATACAGTTTTCTTACAATGCTAAGAAGGCCACCACGGTAGTTTTTACAGTACTGCTGTGATCCTTTGCCCTTATATAATTGGACAATTACGGATTTGCACCAGTCTCCCGGTACCCGCTTAAGTTCCCAACATAAATTAAACAAGGTGTACAGCAGGTCTGCCACTACTCCTTCTCCAGCCCTTAGCATTTCGAGAGATACTCTATCATATCCGGCTGCCTTAACTGCTTTCATACTTTTCATTGCTTTCATTATTTCATCTATACTTATGTATCTATCTATTTCCTCTTCTTTCGGAGTTTCTATTTCATTTAATTCAAACGTCTCATCACTCATAAATACGCTTTCAAAGTTTTCCTTCCATCTCCTTAAACTTAAAACTTCGTCATTCAGAATACAGCCATTCTGGTCTGGTATAGCATTCATTTTAGGCTGTTTTTAATGTCCCCTGGCAGTTTTTACGAGTTTCCAGAATATTTTAATGTTTGTCTGGAAGTTATCCGATATTCTTTTATCATTCTTATCCGTTCTTTCTTGCTTATTCCTTTCAACTACTTCTTTTACTCTCTTATTTAGATGTCTAAAGACTGCCTTTTTCCTTTCAATATCATCATTCATACCGCTAGAATTACTAGCCTTGGTTGCTAGTAAATCTAGCCATGCTTTCTTCTTTGCTTCAACTTCCATCTGTACCTCATCATTCCACCATAACGTGTTATTTTTACTTTCATTCATTCTCTTACTTACATCACATACTTCGGTAGCTGCACCCAACAAACCTTTCTTGATATTATACCACACATCTCCAAGTCTAAATCATTCATACACAATTCAGTTATACCAGTTATATTTTCTCTCATTCTGTATTTGAACTTCTCTTTCACACCTTCATCTTGTAACCTATTTGTTCTTATACGCTGTAACGCAGTGGTATACACAAATGTCCCATGCCTCCAACGTCTGAAAAGACGATTAATTCGGCATAAGACCAAGTAATGGTCCGTCCCTACGTTAGACCCCCAGTAAACCCTTGTATCTACCACCGCGCTCCTCATTCTTTCATCAACAATTATGAAATATATCATGCTTCTATCATCACCTCTTTCCCATGTATACGTGTGAATCTTCTTATGACGAAAGAAAGTGTTCGTCACAAAAATATTCTTTTCCACACATACGGTGAGGAGGCTTTCACCATTCTCATTTATACTTTCATCATAAAACGTTCCCAATATCCTTTCATAACCAAGCCTCCTCACCCCAACCCTTCCATTAAAATCTCCTAATATCACAATATTTTCATTAACCTTGCATTTCATTAGCACCATCCTTACCAGTTGGTAGGTATAAGTGGGCTTAGACATGTCTGGGGCGTAGACCCCTAAAACAAACAAACTCTTTAAGCCCGCTTTCATTTGTATCCATAGCAGTCTCGGGCTTACACATTCATACTCTTTCACACATTGACCCATTCTTTCTGAAAGTATGATACAGACTCCCTGGCATGCCCGCTTGGTCTCGTCTACACCAGACCAGTACGTGGTATACATGCCATGTGTAGTGGCATCCTTTCCCTTCCGTTTCGTCTCATTTATACATAACACGTCTATTCCTCTATCATATATCATATCGCATACTTCATCCATCTTATCATTCATTGCTCCACATACATTCAACGTAGCCAGACGGGCTTCCGCAATCCACTTTTCGCCCCTCCGGGGGACAGAACGTGACGGGTGGCGAAACCTCTCGCCGGTTTTCTTCCCGGAGATTCTTCGCACCTGCCCCATTA